CCTTTATTTACTTATATTCTATCCCTCTACAGATTGTCTGCATTATGGTGAGACAATCAGAAATAAAGTAGGATGGGAGTTCAAAATTCTACCTTTCCAAAACAGGATCTATTCTTTCTAGAGTAATTTCTGAACAAAAACTATATAAGCTTTCTTATTAACAAGGTCCTTAAAAATAGAGATTCCACATATTGTCCACAAACTCAGTTTCAGTTCTTTGCTATCTTTATATTTAAAAATACACTTTACACTGAAGACAATCTTTGTAGTACCAGTCCTAACATTTCCTAGTAGCATTTTGAGTCTTGAGCTATCTTTTTCTTCTTGAGCTATCCGAGTGAATACAAATAACAGATTGTTACTCTCTTTCAGCAACCTTTTACATATTTCAATACTCTTATCATGTCCTTTTTCTATCTTCTTTTGTCCGAGACTAAAAAATTTCAGGTCTCTAAGGCTTAGCTTTAAGTCATATTTCTAAAGGTCTAATGATTTTACACTCTTGTGGATTTTCTCCAACTGATTCATGTACTACTTTTTAAGCAGGAAATGCAAATCTAGGCACTGAATTCCAACTGAGACCTCACAAGCAGTGAGGAAAGAGGAAACAGGTGAGGTGGTGGGGTCTCTCATAGCCTTGCACACTTACATGGGAACTGTACTGAGCCAGTCAGTTTCGCTACTGGATTGCTCATGGCTTGTGCTAAGTGTAGCACTCTGCAGCTGCTCTTATTGAATTGCATCTTATTTACCAGAAACACTTCTCCATTTAAAGAAATAATTGTAAATTCCAATTTTTCTATTCTTTTTTCTTGCAGTCAGCTGAAGGAACCATAGCAACAGTGTTCAAAATGTGTTCCTATGGAAACATGCAACATAATTTGTGATGGACTTAAAAGGACTGATGACTATTTGGACAGCAGAATTCCAAGAAGCTGTGAATTGTGAAGTTTTACCCAGATGTTAATTTCACCGTTTGCTTACAAAAATGTGATCAAAGATATTAGTAATATTAGTATGTAATTATGTGACACCCACAGCTTTTACACAGTCTACAATACCTATTATTCTGTTGTAGATGAAATTAGGCTTGTGAGACAAAGTATGTTCTTAATCATAATATCTGTTTATTACTTTATGGTCTTCTGAAGGCTTATAAAGTGATTTTATGTTCACTGTACTGTGAACTGCTCTCCTAGGTTGATTTTGGCAGTTCATTAAGAGCATCCTAAGGTCGAACATATTGGCCCAGCCAAGTAGAAAAGCTCAAAAACTGACTCCTTTAACTCATTCCTTAGAAATTATGTCCCCTTTAATGCACTGCATCCTTTTTGATGAGCAGGATGTTGCTCATCAACAATGTCCTGTTTGATGAGCAGGACATGTATATTCACAGGGATACATCAGCTGGGATTAAGTTATTTGAAGTTTTAGGCAGTTGTTCAAGAGCAAAGCAGCGCATGGAGCGGAAAGAAGCAAAATCCCATTTACATTTGTGTTTTCCTTCAATTCGCAGTAACCATTTATGACAAGAATAAGGAGTTTCTATGAGTCACAACCATTTCCATGTGGCTGCTGGTTCCACAAATTCAAATCACACACACACACAAATCAATGAGCTAGAGCAGATGCAGCATGGGCCTGGCAACATGTCTTGTCTGAGGAACCCACAAAAGTTTGACTTGAAGGAGATTCCTCTTTCTTTCAGATAGTTCTCCCCATACTAAACTGATAGTAGCTGGTGTCACCATTCTTCCTTTGGAGGCCAGCAGGAGGTAAGGATCAATAGATCAGTATTTTTAAAGAACTATAAACTTTGGCATTCTGCTGAGCAGTGACTCTGCCTTAGGTCTGCTGAGCGCCCTCAAGCCCCCTCAGCAGCCACTTGAGCTTGCACAGTGCAGCAAAGAGAGGGGGCTGCAAAGCAGGAAACCTGCACTCCTAGGTGGCTTTGATCTTTCCTGTCTTTTTGCTTCTGCAAAAAACCAAAAGTTTCTAAAAATATATAAGAAACTGGATTTGCCAGTGTAAATAGAATATTTACCTGCAACACCAAAGGCAAGTCCCTGTTCTTGACCAGAAAGATCAGAGAATTGAAATTGTCTCCTACAGCTCAGGAAAAAAGCCTGAAATTTTGCTACTTGGATTTCATGGAGGGAAAAAACAAAAGGGTCTTTCATTTCCTTCTTTCCTTCTCCATTCTTCCCTGTTCAAACACATATTTTGACCTACCCTTGTCTCTTCACAAACAGCCTCACACATCAAACAGCTCTTCAAAACACAAATCCTATTGCTTTCTTCCTCTGGACACCTTTCATTTTTATGAATCAGTATTTTCCAAGAAAAAACACTCCTCTTTTGTTCCTAAACACCTGTTTAAAAATACGCTGCAGAATAACTTAACAATAAAGTCTGAGACACGATTCCCCCTTCCACAACTACAAAAAAGCGTGTTAAGAGTGTGGCAAAATTTACAGCTTATGATTCCTAGGCCAGTTCTGTTATTAACAATTTCAATTTCCTCTCCTTAAACATACTAACACAAACTGTTCTTTTGGCTGGAAAGGGAGTGAAGAAGAGAGCAGGCTGTGGCATTTCCTTCAGATCACCCTGTCTCTGTGCCAAAAACCCACTTTTTCTCTTCTGCACCAAAAGCAATGAACTCAGAATAGCTGAATATATATTAGAGGAGAAAAAGCTCTGGATTTTTTACTTTCAGAGCATTCTTGAACAGACTTTTGGATTCATTAACATTTCCAAAGATTATTTATTGGCCTCAGTTTCAGGCAGAACATGAAAAAGAAAAAATGATCTCTGCTTTTCAATTACTATTAGGGGATGCAGGAAAGAGAAAGAAATTTTTCCTCAAAAGTATATTTCTAGGGCACAGCTTGCCTGGCTTGCCTGGAAGACAGCTGAGAAAGTTCTCACTTTGTTTGAACTGATGTGTTTGTGAAAGCCCTACTTCTCCTCCCACCTTTTCTTTTCTTCTGCAGCGTCCAGTCTTGAAAACAAACAGACAGATGTTCTCTTGGATCAGCTTGTGAGACTTGCAATGTCAGGAGTGCAAACAGACTTTTGCTGTTTAGTCCAGGAAATGAGATGAAGACAATCTGATAAATAAACAGTGTTTATTACTCCAGTTTAAAGTGTGCTTTGGATTTCTTTTCAAAATACTCCTACGAGGAAGTGAGGATGAATATTAAACATGTGCTCCTAATTTAGAGACCTCAATGGCAAGGTTAGAGGGTCTTTTAATTACACAATTTGTATAGTTAGGTCGTAACAGCAGTGAGTGTTTCTGATCTTTAACCATATTAAAGAAACAAGAACAAATTTGAATAACATAGAAATTCACTCCAAAGAAACTTACAAGACTTATGAATACACCAAGATTAATTAGAAAAATAGGATTTAGGACTGTGTGTGAATTGGAATGCATTGTGACTTTTATAATTAAGAGACACATAGAGATTTAAAGAGATGGCACATAATTACCCAGTATGGACTGGGACAAGACAGAGTGGAAAATATTCTTCTACTTGAGCTCTTAAGTATGCATTTTAATGATTATGGGCTCATAAATTTAGATTTAGATATAATTCAAATGGCACTTCCATTATCAGCAGCATCTAGATCCCCAGAAGAGCACTAGAGCATCATTAAGCTTTTAATTCTGTGCAATGTCATGTGCCACCCTGTTTCTCTGTCATGGCTGTGTGGCCTACCCAGCACAGAAGAGCCCAGCATCCATGGCTCTGGTGACACATATGCTGCCAGGCTCAAGTAGGAACAGCCAGGGACCTGCCCTGCACATTTGCCAGGAGATGGAAACAAGCAAGCACAAAAGGGCAATTAACTTCATAAAGATTTTCTTTCCTATTGTGAGAAAGAAAAGAGGAGAGTTCAGAATGCAGTAGGTGAGTTTTGGAGCTAAGTCTTTATATTCAGGTAAGGACTGAATGGTGACTGCATGCTCTGCTGTCCTTTGGGCTTGCAAAAACACAATTTGGCCCTCAAGAGAGAAAACAGAGACCCACTGAGTCACCAATAACATTTGCTGCATTGCTTTGGATTTGTCTTGAGGCACCTCCCTTCCCTTCCAGCTCTGCAGTAAAGCATCATTTCCACCAGACAGAGGTGATTCAGAACCCATGAAATGCTCATTTTTCCAAGTCATGGAGAACTGTTACTGAATGAGTTATCATTTAAACAGCTTTTAGTTCCACATTTGAATTCAGAATGAATTCAAATTCTAGTGAAAGGTGTTCAACAAGTGACATTGAGCCAAGAAACTTTACTCACTGTTCCCAAGAGGAACACACCCAATACTTGTTGTGAGTCTCATTTTTATTCCTAACCTTACTATCTGCATCACCCTTTTTTTTTGGAATAATGAGTTTTGGGGGGAAAGTATCCCATACTACACCTATGTTTGTCCGAGACAAATAATTTCATCTGTTATATTTTGGCTACAAGACATCAGATAGCAAAAAATGCCTTTCAGATTTTTATATTTATTTTTAATCCTAAATGAATGAAATGCAGACTGATAAGCTAATTATGAAAGTATCTGTGAACTCATATGCCAAATTCTCTACAATTAAGCTAGCTGTGTTTACCTGTTGATATTCATCCTGTTTTCTTATATTGTTTGCAGTCTCCAAGTGTGACTACAGAGATAACAACAGGAATCCAACCGAACTATGAAATAGTCTGTAGTCCAACACTAGCAACAACAGTGCCTCACAGACTATTTTGTATTTACTACTTTGTAATTTGAAACATTTTTCCCAAAGTCTTCCTTGTAACTGTCATTGTAAATAACAAAAATATTCACCTTACCTACACACAGTGCTCTTGTTTCCTTCAGATCCATGTTTTAGGCCAAACACTTTTCACTTTTATTAGTCTGTTTCCTTAAAGGGCAAGTTTATCAAAACACCGACATTTTTCATATTTTAGATAGTGCACTATAAAGCCATTTAGGTAAACTTTACCTTTTCAAAGTGTGGAGAAATGTACGCTACAGCAAAATCACAAGACTTGCCACATCTTTAGCTATGATGTATACCTTTCTTTTTGTCACGAGTGAGACTGCTGCTGCTTGGAAAATCCAGGCCTGGACCAACTCTGCCCCTATAAGAGAGGGAACAACAAAACACTAACTCACCGAATGTCATGGGGGATTCTGGCTGCTGACTACTGCATTCAAGAGGTCCTTAATTAGAACACAGTATGGTAATTCCAACCCTATAGCCTGATGCAGCTCAGTGAATTGTGCCTACCTAATCCTAGCTCACAGGATCCCATCAGAAGGCCTGAGGTAGTACCTTGCAGGACTACATGAGTTTTATCTCTTGTGTGAATAAGAGGGAAAGGGGAACTGCAGGAAGAAGTCAAGGGTGGATGTGTCATATCCAGCAAGTAAGACTTCCAAAGTTTGGTATAGGCTCTGGGTGACCTATGTCAGACATCCTTTTTCTGAAGTCAGCTTAACTTTTTTGAAAGCCAGGTCAACCCGTACTTGGATTAATTAATTTTAAAGTTATGTCTAGTAAAAGTTGTGATTACCTTAGAGCAAAAGTGAGTATTTTCTTGATAAAGACGCCATGCATGGGCAAGATTTACTCTGCATGTTATAAAGACTGTAGAGGTGACTAGTTGAGAGCTCAACAGAAAGCTCTCAACTAGTCTTCCTGAATATGATAGTCTTCTTGAATATGTGTAATAGTAGATTAAAACCCTCAAACCTCAAATATTAAGGCTTTGGCAACACTTCCAACTACTATTATAGAGAAGCTGCCAAATCTTTTGTTGAAGCGAATGACGGTGCGGAGCCCAGCAGATCCCCTTTGGCAGCTGGAAAGTATCTCGTAAGATGTGCAATGATGCCTTGCAGAGCGACTGGCTACAAGCACTGTGTTCAGCTACTTGTGTCTCTGCTCTAACACCGGCAAAGAGGGATTTGTGCCCAAGACCGTGTTTAATATTACAGCAGAGACCAACCAAGAGAGGCCAAACTTGATTACCTTTCGGTGGCAGCGGCGACAAACGCCCTTATAACTGCTGACACTAAAGACAAGCACGAGGGAAGGCAAAGCGGCTGCCGGCTCTCTGCCCCTGCACTCACAGAGATCACAGCCGCTCAGATGTAACAGATTCGCCTTTGTTTATGCCACGTCGGGCACCCACAGCCGCCGGTGTCCTCACGCGGGGCTCTCCCCGTTCGGGGCGGTGATTTACCAGCAGGAGGGCGGGGAGGCTCAGCCCCGCAGCGCCCAGTGAGGGGAGCGGGCCCTCCCCGCTCCGTCCGTCCCGCCCGGGGTGGAGCCTGGGCAGCTGCCGGTACTGCTGGAGGTGGCGGGCCCGTCCCTCATATAACCCTGCAGCGCTGCCGTCGCCTTCCCGGCGCCTCCCGCTCCGCCTGCCCTCTGCGCTCCGTGCCATGGCTCGGCGCCTCAGCCCGGCCAGCTGAGTCCTGGGAGCCGCCGCGTCCTGCGGGGACCGAGCCGGCCGTGACTCCGCGGCCCTGTCTCCGGCCTGCTGCCCTCCGCCATCCCGCTCGGCCCGCAGAAGCGCTGCCCGGGGCAGACGGCACCGTCCTGCCCGAGTGTGCATAAAGCCCGCCTTCCCCTTCCCTCGCCGCGATCGCACCTTCCCGCCTCCTGCCCCGGGGCTGGCCGGGCTCGCACCCCGCGCTCCGCCGCCGCTGTCCCCGCCGAGGATGCGGGTGTCGCTGCTGAGCCCGCTGCTCCTGCTGTCCCTCAGCGCCGGCCCGCACGCCGCGGAGCTCCAGCACGGCCGCGCCAAGTGCCCGGCCCGCTGCGATGTCTCCACGTGCCCCAGCCCCAGCTGCCCCAGCGGGTACGTGCCCGACCGCTGCGGCTGCTGCCTCATCTGCGCCGCGGGCGAGGGGGACTCCTGCGGCCGCAAGGAGGACCCGCCCTGCGGTGACAGCCTCGACTGCCGCTACCCCATGGGCAAGCGCTTCGCCAAGGGCGTCTGCCAGTGCAAGCTCAGCGCCCAGGTGTGCGGCAGCGACGGCCGGACCTATGACAACATCTGCCAGCTGAAGGCGGTGAGCCGCAAGGCGCTGCAGCACGGGCTGCCCGGCATCGCCCAGGTCCAGAAGGGAGCCTGTGAATCGGGTAGGAGCATGGTGGGACCTACCGCAGGGCGCGGGGTGGGATACCTGGGTAAAGAAAGTCGCGATTTTCAGTGGCCTGGGAAGACTGGGTGGATGTAGGTACTCTAAAAACCTCCAGGGATGTGGAAATAATTACACCTGTGGCATGCGGAATGGATGCTCAGGTGCTTTCTGACCAGCAGAACTGCTGGATGCTCAAGGTGGGCTGGGGTTTGGGAAGGGTTCTCCCAAACCAGCAGCACGGCTATGGATGATGCCTCGCAGTGCTCCCGGGACAAGAGGCGGGCGCACTCGCCAGGTGGGAGCGAGGTGCGTGGAGGTGGCTCGGCTGCCAGGCCAGGGCAGCGAGCGGCACCAGCCTTTCTGGAGGCAGGGCAGCAGCACCAGCCCGCTCCCGTGCGGCCGGTGCCACCTGCGCTCGCCGCGCCGGCTGCGGTGGCGGCCGCAGTGCTGGGTGGCGGTGTTGGTGCTGGTGGCATCCCCCGTGCAGGGCACAGCCCGCACAAACAGAGCGGGACCCCGGAACACTTGAGCTCCGGGACCGTCCCTGGGGGATTTTGGGCTGTTTGTCAGATTGACCCGACAGGTGAATCAGAAAACGCCTCTCTAAAAGCCCATCAGGGCAAGAAAAGGGCTGCGTATTAGAAAAACCACCTAAAACATAGTCTTTTGTCTGGTTTGTTTTCTTCACCAAAGGGTTTTGTAGTCTTGTAGAGCCCTTGTAAGGAAAAAAGTCTTGTAAGGAAGAAAAAAAAAAAAAAAAACCCCGAGAAGTTCCTTTATAGTGTAAAATATTGATACTCAGGCAATCAAATCTTGTGTTTGTAGTAAAGTGTTGAGGCCTTTGCTCAGATCCTGTGATATGCTATGACACACAACTTCAGGCTTGGTGATTTAACTTTGGAAAGTTTAGTAATCTCTTAAGCTAGTAATTTCCTTTTAATATTAAAATGTGTCTCTTTATGGAAGTGTTAATGGTGGCAGTATCTTTCCACATACTTACTGGTATATTATTTTTAAAAGGCTTTGCTTCTGCTACATTTCCCATAGAGTTCCTGAAAAGAGAGAAGTGCTATGCTTAATGGAGTTTTAAAACATGCATTAATGTTTTCATTATGTCAGGTAAATCACTAACCATCCTGTTTATTCACAGCAAACTGGCCAAAATGATTGGGAGGGTTCAGAGGGAATAGGGGTTGAGTTGTAGCCTTTCTGTGGATAGGGGGCCTTTCATATATATATTTTGATCTTTGGAAAGGCTAAGCCAGTTCAGAGTGGGAAGGTATTCAAATGATGTTCCTGGAGTTCCTTTCAGAGTATCTTGTCAGAGCCAAGAATTGTTTCAGATGCCAGCCTGAAGCTGCAATTTTTCATCTCTCCAGTATTTTGTAGTTATAAATTGTTTTTGCCTGTGCCTTTTCACATCAGCAAATGTTAACTTTAGTATTCCTAAAACTTAGTTGAATCTGATCCATGTGAAATAATCAAAATGCTTAACCAAAATGAGTGAACTAGTCTGCATCTGAGAGCTTGCTGAGTGCTTGGCATTTGGTATATGTGAATTTTCCTTTAAGGAATCCTCCTGAATCTAATGCTAATAGGCTTAGGAATTTAGAGCTGCGAGGCAGAAGAGATTTTTTTTTTTCAAGCAACTATTTTAGTGTTTACTTTATTTTGGCTTTATTTTTTTTTTTTTTGTCTCAGAAAACATCAGCTTAGATGAAGCATCTGGTTTTCAGTTGAGATTTAATTTTTTTTGTTCAGTTCTACAGCTGCACAAACTGAAGCTCAAAGAAACCGAGTGTCTTGCCCAAGGTCAGGCTGAGTTGGTGGTTGAGCCAGGAATAGAACTCAATTATGGTTTTTTTCTGTTTATTTTGGTTTTTTTTAAACAATAACTTGCAATGGCTGTAATGAGAGACTTGGAAGAAACTTGACAGTTTAAAATTGCTGTCAAATTTCTTTTTCTCCTGTTCTTGCCTGGCCTCAGATGACTCAGAATTTGAAGGGATAAGCTAGTTATGAAGTAAATGCAGTTTTACTTAACCATCCATATATTAAAAACAATCTCAGATAACAGAAGCATCATATAGTATGACTAAGGCTGTATTTAGAACATGCACAGACCTAGAGTGGCTCCTGAAATGTCTGCTCCTCTCCTTTTTCAGCTGCTTGTGTTGATGCTGAGTTGGATTCTGGCTGTGATAAACCCAGACAGACTGAGAAACTTAGCAGTGGTTTCCTGGTGACAGCAGTCTGGTGAATAGGGATACATGAAACAAGGATGCAGGAAGGAAGGGAGGAATGAGGTGGCCAGGGTTACTGAGTGATAATTGAAAAGTTAACAGAATTTAAAATGTTTTTGTTCTTGTTGAAGTCCTGGATGAGGTTGAAAAGCACCATGCCAAATTGCAAGTTCTGCACACAGTGTACTAAACGGGGCGTGCACTGCATGGAGGTCCAGGGGCTCCATTACTGATGCTCTGCAAGGTACCAGTGCCCAGAGATACCAGTGGGAGCAGTCTGCAGAAATCCTGTGCAAAGTTCAACTCCCTGCTACAAATACTGGGGGGTTTTTAAAACTTTTTTCAACAGTATATACCTTTATATATGGGAATATATTGTGAAGCTATTTTTTCTGCCTTCTGTCACCTACTGTGATAACAACAAGCTGTTACAAGCTAGCATGTAAGTAATGGGAGAAATACTTTTGGAGGACAACCTCTGTAATCAAAGATCTATTCCTATAGAGCCATGTTTCTCAGGGCAGCAAGTGCAAGTTTTAACAATGCCATGTATCAATCAACTAAGATGTCAGACATCTCACTGCAAGGATTCACTTGGTCACCTGCCATCGACAGTCAACCTGCTTGTTTCTTGAACAAAGGACTGGTTTTGATCTGTCAGTACAGCTTAGTACAGTTAAATTCCCTGC